CTAATTGAGGGATATGCATGGCAGTGCTACAAAATCTCACCCCTGTCAACTTGACAATGTCGAACTCAGTGCAAAGGTAGGCCACAATGTGTTTTCTATTTGTTGATTTAGATTAATTATTTGTCGGAAGTTGTTAGGCTAGGCCTGGGGACATGAGCCGGGAGGGAGTAGGATTGAGCCTCGCATGCAGGTTTAATCCAACCCCGTCCATCGCCTCCTCGTACGTCCGTCCGTATCCGTTCAGCTTAGGCTAGGCCGGGCCGGCACTAGGCCGGACCACATTATAAACCAGGAATGACTGATCAGGTCTGAGCACTTGCATATGGTCTTAAGCGTTGTTAGAAGAGCCGATCGACGGGTTCCCGTAATGCTCCAATTTCAAAATATTCGTAGGCTTAGCCTGTACGTACGTACTTGTTTAACATAAACATGATGAACGAGCTTTACTGCATGCAGCAGGCGCAAGGCCGAGGCCGGCTAGGCTAGGCATATGCGCGCAGGCACAATTTTTACTGGAGCTACGTACACCTACGACTGTTGCCTCTCATTCAATTTTGGTCAAAAGCGCACGCGTAATATGCGGGCGCACTTCAGACTGATTATAATTAATTACAGGCAACAGCCACCAAGCATTTTGGCAAAGTTGACGCACGCGCACGCTCAGTGGATACATGACCCATGACCTCAAGCATGCATCGTATCGTACGCGCGTGCAATGCAGTCGCGTCGTGGTCGTAGACTCGTACCGTATACATACATGTACATGTACATGTACGTACATGACACGCATGCATGATGACTGGTTGTGCTTGTTTTGCGGTGTGTCGATGTCCACACTACAGATACCAAAACAGTACATGTACATGTACATGTACATCCATCAATTTTTCAATTAATCTGCTAATGCTATCATGGCTGGATCCAAAATCTGAATGAAAAGGGACAATATTTGGGTAAATATAGACCTAGGCCTAGTTAGTGACTAATTTATAGCTTGAAATGTCCAGCTTTTTCTTAATTGTCCATGACACATGGGGAGATTTTCAAGGCAAATCTCCCCATGTGATGTCACGAGCCTAAAAAAAACACCTGGAACTTTAATCAAGCTACATAGGATAGTTTTAATCAGTGACAGTTAAATTTCTGGGAATTATTCCCATATATCTGGCCATATTATCACTTGTCACCATGTGCACATACACATATACAAACTGTACTGAGAGTTGAGACTGGTCTGAACATTTGTGTTTTGTCAGTAAGTACTTCCATATTTTCCTTGCTAAATTTGACTTTTCATGACATTTCTGATGGCTGATAGGTCACTGAACTAGGCCAGATATATGAGAATCTTTCCATTTTGTATCAATGTTAACAAAATCCGAGGTCCATGTTTTATTCGTAACAACTAAAAGATTAATGTACTTTTTTTGTCAATAAGACTATTTAGCAATAACAATTTAAATTATTAATTTTGAACATTTCCTATTTTCTTTCAAACATCCAGTACATATGCTGAGCTGTCATCATAACCTGAGCTTATTCTCATCGTTCCAACTTGGTTCATTTAGGCAATTTTGTTAGTTTATTCATGATCAGACTTTGAAATTTGTACACAATTTCTACAAGATAATTGTTACTTTTCAGAAACTGTCAGCACTTTTTAAAAAAAATATTGTTGTCCTCTGTACTGCTTTCCCAGCCATCTCCCTTTTCATTTTGTCCTCTCATATATATCTGTAACACCTCTCTGTTTCATTCCAATGTGGCAGTTTCCTTGTGCCATTTACGGTAGCCTTTGAACAAATAATCTGTTCGGAAGGATCAAAAGTCAGGCTCGTCAAACATTGATACATTTTTCTTTTCTTCTTTTGGTGGTCATTCTCAGTAAAAATCTTGAAATATGGTGAACTTTCATTGCTGCAGGTGTGCATATGAATCCAGGAACTTCCTCAGATTATTAAATAATTACAGGTACTTGCACACTGGGCCACTGTCAGTTATAACTTGTAGTGTGGAAGGGTGCCATAGAGTGCTCAAGAATGTGAGATCTTTTCAAAATCATGTGAAACAAAAGCACTCTACATTTTGGGAAAGGTACGGTAGACTACAAGACGACATTGACATCGAGGACGATCAGGAAGAAGAACACCTGCAGTCTGGATCAGATAGATCATCCGATGGTGACGAACATGAAGATGTAGGTGAGGCAAATGAGCCTGAAGTTCCTCTTGACACTGATTACAAATCGACAACATTCATTTTAGGTTTAAGGGAAAAGTTCAAAGTCAATGATCAGGCATGCAGTTTTGTTGCTGAAGAGGTACATGATTTACTTGGATTAGCAAGAGAAGAACTTCACAAAAAAGCAAGGATTCAAATGCCTCACGCACAGAAAGAAGATTTAGCAGAAATTTTCACACATTCACAAATGGAGCAATCTGTTGTTTTTTTGGCAAAACTTCCCACCTTAATGCTTATGTCAAGGACAAGTTTCATTTTGTGGAACCTGTTGAGTATGTGATGGGAAGAAATGGAAATGGCAAAATTCAAAGTTTTCAATATGTCAGTGTTTTGCAGACATTACAGGCTCTCTTGAAGAACGATGATGTTTTTGCCCAGCTTGTTCAAGGACACCAGAATAATGAAATTATCAAAGATTTCTGTGATGGTTCGATGTACAAAGGACACACACTTTTCTCTCAGCTTGTTCCGACAATTCAGATTCAGTTGTATAATGACGATTTTACGGTTGCAAATCCCATAGGCAATAGAGTCAAGCAACTGAAGTTTTCTGCTTTTTACTTTACCCTTGGAAATATGCCACCTCAGTTCAGGTCAAAGCTGTGCTCCATTCAGCTTGTGTTACTCTGTCCTTCAGAAGTCATTTCTGAATATGGAATTCAACAAGTTCTGACTCCTTTGACAGAAGATTTAAAACTCCTTGAGTCAGTTGGCATAAACATTGAAAAAGAGGGAAATGTGCATAATTTCAGGGGATCCATTTCAATGGTTGTTGCCGACAATCTGGCTGCACATGGCATCGGGGGATTTCAGGAAAGCTTCAATACACAGCGTTTCTGTAGATTTTGCATGATCACCAAGGATGATGTGAAAAACCATTTCCGGGACACTGGTCTTGTTCTAAGGAATAGAAATTCCTTCAATGAACAAGTAGAAATAGTGGAGCAATTGCCAGATGCTGCAAGTGTATATGGAGTGAAGAGAAACAGTCCATTGAACCAGCTAGAACACTTTCATGTTGTGGATGGTCTTCCATCGGACATTGCCCATGACCTCTTTGAGGGCATTATTCTCGATGTCATGGAAAAAGTAATTCTTCACTGTGTCCATGAAGGATTTTTCTCTCTAGAGTTCTTAAATGAACAGGTAGAAAATTTTCCTTACTCTGGAACTGACAAAACTAATAAGCCATCAAAAATGGCCACCGAAGTTGGGAAATTCAAGGTGAAACAGAAGGCAGTACAATCTTGGTGCTTTCTCCGCCTTTTGCCATTGATGGTTGGCGATAAAGTGCCTGTAGGTGACAAAGTGTGGGCAATTCTCCTCCTCCTTCAAGATGTAGTACAAGTAAGCACCTCACCTCAAGTAGATCTCGCTCTCTGTCTCTTTCTAGGAGACTTAATAGAAATGTTCTTGAAGAAGTACTTCGAGGAGTTTCCAGAGGTTTCCATGAAACCAAAGTTTCACTACATCATCCACTATCCTAAACTAATGATGAAATTTGGTCCATTGGTACACTGTTGGACATTGAGGTTCGAGGGAAAACACCTCTACTTCAAAGAATTATCTCACCACACCAAAAATAGAAAAAACATGAGCAAGACTCTTGCTACAAGACACGAGTACTACCAAGCATGGTTGAGAACCAATACTGCTTATTTAGTGAAAGATGTCATTGAGCATACTTGTGGAAATCTTCTACCTGTGAGGCTGCTGTTACGACCAATTCAAGCCCTATTACTGCCCCTACTTGGGGAAAGTGAATCTGTCTATACCGCCAAGAAAGTGCAGTGTAATGGTACATGGTATGGTCAAAGATTGGCTGTTGCTGAAGGGACAACCCCAGAAGGATTTGTCCAGTTTGCTGTGATTGAAGTGTGTTGTTTAATTCATGGGGAAGTTTATCTCGTTTGCAAACAATCTGCAAATACTCGGTATGTACCACACATCCATGGATATGAATTTACTGTTACGGAGGAATTTGTTGTGAAGAAAGTGTCAGATCTGCTTGACCATTACTCACTTGGTGTTTACCAAAGTAACCTAGGAAGAACAAGGATAGTTGTGCCACGTCATTACATACAAACATTGGAGTTGTAAACAAGTCATGACACAATAAGAGAACAAACGTGTGATGTTTACGTGGTCAACAACAAGAAGAGAGGACTGATAGTTGCATCACTGTTGGAACACATCTTCTTTTCTTTTCACTTGCCACTAATGAGGACTTTATGGGTGGCACTCTTACATTACTTTCCCATTTATTTATTTCTTTCTGGAAGGTAGGAGGGCCTGATGTCTTGATCACAGCATAATTTTTCTCGAAGGATTTCTCAGTACTTTCTACTTTGACTGCAAAAAAGTAGAAATGTTTTTTTTACATTCAAACTTTTTTTGCAGTGTATCTGGGGATCTCTTGTTAACCTCATCTCTGTTAACCGGACCATTAATTATTTCTCAAAAATTGTCAAAAACTTTAAAAAAAGAAGAAGAAGTAATTGCAGTATTTTAATGACAAATCGGTTTCAGTGCAAAGGCACCCATCTCTTACTCTGATTACCCTCAAGTCAAGTCACAGTTTTATAAAGACTTTGATATATCATACATGTAGAACACGGTTTGTTTTGAGCTTGAAAAATCAAATACACTGTACCTGTACATGCACTCACAAAAGCTGCTGACAGGAGCTGATCAGTTATGTATTATTTTGAAATGAAATTGCATGTACGTGTAATTCATATATACATTCTCTCAACAATTGAATGTAAATGTTGATATTTCCACATAGATTCCTGTTGATCTATGGAAATCAACAAAGAAAAGTCCAATTTCAATGTAATGAACCTGATGGGAGCCACCAGGTGCGTGTTGTGGACATCAAAAAGAAAGCATCGGAGATATTCAACTTGGCAGTCGACCATGTCCAGGTCAAGATATGGGACCGAGGATTCGATGATTGGATCGATGGTGAGGATGACAATGAAGAAGTGGAGCATAACAGCAAAGTCCAGATAGCGCTTGCAGACATGGCAGATGCAGGCAGTAGGCCTATGGATGACATCCCAACCAGTGTGTCCCTTGCTTCATGTGGGTAAGTTTTTGGCACTTTTCTGGGGTGTATATTTATGTGGGTGCAAAAAGTTTGCATAATTTGAGTTAACATCATCACACTTTCTGACTCTAGCATACACTTACTCACGTAAGGGGAATTTCATGTAAATCAAATACCACAAATACATGAGAAAAGGTTAATTTACATCTGGTCAAAACATGAGAAATTGCGGAAATTGTCCACGATGGAATGATTATTTTTTTCATGGAATGTTTAATAGCTCATTACACATAGAATAATGAATTTGGATTCTTGTCACAAACATCAGACTAGGTTACTTCGATGAATTTTAAAGGAATATGACATGCAGACTGACCTTTGTTTTTAATATTGAATGAATTTTTTAAAAATCAATGGAAACTGGACAATGAAACTGTTATGCTATTGTATTAAGGTAAAGAATCTTCTTTTTCCCAGAACATCATCACCTACATTGTGTAGTTCTGTCAATTGGGTAAGGGACTACAGGCTACCAAGCTTCCCTGCCAGTATTTCTACCAAACTCGAGAACGGCCAAGCTCTAAAGGAGGGGGAGAGATCTGCGATGTTGGAGGCCATCTACAGCAGCGTTAGAAAGTACACTTAGTAAGTTAGAATCACTTATATATCTTTACATTTCAAAATTATGTAATGAAGTTCTTCAGTTGAGTCAATTTTTTCCAAAAGTGTAAGTGACTTGCAGTATACCTGAGCTTGTCTTACATACGCAGTGTGGACTTCCGAACAAAAGACGTCCACATAATGTAGGTAGCAGCGACGAAGTGTGGACTTGCCCACGTCCACACAGTGTTTCCCCATTTCTGGAAAACAGGTTTAGAGGCATTTTTGGGTTAGGTTTATCTGTAGCAGAATGAAGAGAAACACTAAAGGGAATCATTGAAAAAAAATTGGGTTGTAAGAGTTTTCACAGTTTGAGAAAAATGAGTTTTTCCACTGGTGTTCCTTAACTACACGAAATGAAAGGAAAGTCCACACTAGGTATGTGAAACAAGTCTGGGTGTGTGCGTGTGTGTTTGTGTACACACAGTAAATCTTTGTTATGTTAGATGATCGGTACATTTGATCAATGGTACTCCAAGTAACACCCGAGTTCTCCATCTCTACTTTTTTGTTGAATTACGTCAGTAATCACTGGAAATGTCTTCCTGGTCTAGTCCATTTCTTGAGCTTCTATAACCCATTGGTCTAGTAGATTCCCCTCCCCCCAACAACTCAAGCCAAAAATGGACACAGTTTCTGTTGCATTTCTAACACTGTTTTATGTTTCCTTCTATTTCAAAACAGCTACCCAACTTCAACGCAGTACAGCCAGATTATACAGTTGTTGTTTGACCGCTTCACCAAATTGGCGGGCCAGCCAGACATGTCGTTGGATAATGCAAGAGTGAGTTACAGTTATGTGTTCATTTAAAACTCTACTTTAACATCAAAATTTGATGGAAATGCATTCCTTGTAAACACTTCAAACACTCTAAATTCCTCCAGAGGAAGAAATTGACCCAAATCTCACCAAGGTATCTTGTACAAATAGTACAATAATGTTCTCCCAGTGAAGAAGATGCTCTGTTGTGCAACATGTCTTGTTTGCAGAAGAAGCATGACAAATCTAATTGCAATTTTAATTTCTCCAAATAGTTGTCCAGTGTGTATAGTTCAATTCAATTCAATTCAATTTATTTATTCATCATGTCAGCTAAATTCTACTTCTCGGTTTGCACATAAAATTCAAATACCTTGCTGCCAAGTACTATTGGGACGTTAAATTATAATCACACAATGACAGTTTATAAAAATAATGTCTCCTGTACATTTTCTTGAGAAATATGGTAAAGTAGAGCCATTATAGAATTGTAATGAGATTATGCAGAACTGTACAAAGACATTGAACAAAAACAAACAACTAAACAGTGCTTTTGCGCAGCTTGATCACTCGGTTTTCTATTTCATACTAAATTTTTTTTTTTAAAGCTCATCAATTATCAAGGCTCTTTTTCATATCAGGTCCTGTGGAAGTACAGACTACAGTACAAGTTTGCAAACTCACGAAGGCGTGAGGACAGTAATGTCCCTGTTGTCCTCCATCGCAAGAGGAAGTCTGCAGACAACCAACCAACAGCGGTCCAGTCTACCAAGAAAACGCCACCACAGTGGGGCATTGCTAACTACCAGCCAGCCAGGCCATCCTCAGAAGATGATGCATCCATTGCAGCTCATATCAAGTGGATGAAACAGGAGACGTCCAAACGCAAGCCTGATTGTGACAGGATCAAGATTGCAATGAGCATGACCCTTGCTGATCGGCGACAGCAAATAACAAAGGATGGTGCCTCAATCGAGACAATTCAGAAAACCTACCCCTGGCTTTTTGATGAAGAAGAGGTTGGTGGAATTTTCATTTTTGTAAATTTGACGGTCATGCCCACTTTGCTGTGGTATTGCCCAAGTATATCTTAGAGCCTTTACACTAGCTCAATCTCTGAGTTGACACAGATTTTGAACACAAGTGCCATGTTAACACTGACATGTTTGAAACCACTAATAACCCTTTGTCAACCTGGAGATTAGTTCCACTATGGGTTGAATTCAACCCTGCTCTTGTCCAGTGTAGAGATTTATTTTGCCTGGGTTGAAAATGGTAGTGTGAAATGAGCATGGGTAAATTCAGCCTCAGATTGGGCTTTTTTTTGATTTTTCTACTTTGAGGTTACAAAAGTTATGCAAAAGCATGCTTTATACACCAATGTAAATAATCATTTGAATGAAATAAAAATACTGATTGAAATTGCATGTCGACTGGTATGACCTCATTGTATAATACACGTGTTCATGTTCTTTGACAGTTTTCTCCAACCCCTTGTCCCACAGATCCCAATGTGCATTTGTATATCCATGACATTCCTGTCCAAGGCAGGACACATGACTCCTGCAATCAGTGATATTGGCACCCGCATAAGACTTGTACAATGAATAGTCTTACCTCCCTGGGTAAACACTATCTATAGGTACTTGGCACTGTGATGGGTTTTGCTATGGCCACCTCGTTTGCATGCCTCTTTATGTGTGACCAAAAAAAACCCTGTCTGTTTGCCACATCACCTTGTCATCCCTGGATCTGGTGTCAAGATACATCTGGACCACATTAATTTCTTCCACAGGACCATGACGTTTATATCAGAGTATGTCACAATTCACCATGTAATTCGCACTCTAAGACAGGTATAGTATTCAGCCTGGCACTGCGACTCGAAAGGATTTGTCCTAATGATTCTGATTTCTCCCATTATACACAGGTACTGAAGAATTGCTTGGTTGCCAGTGCATGGTCACAGATTCCGCCAATTGCCGGACCAAAGCTTTCTCAAGAAATTGTTTACCAAAATACATTACTGATAGCAGTTAGAAGGACCTGACATCCTGATCTAAAGAACGTCTTTCTCTTTCTGAGAAAATCAGCATCCACTTTTTACATTCAAAAATCCTTTCTAATCAACAGATGCAGAATGAATTTAAACGCCTTCACGAAGAGGGGATAAAAGAACTCCTCGAGGCAGGATTGACGAAGTACGGGAGTGCCATCATAGAGCTTAGTAGGAACTTGAAAAAGGAGCAACCCTGTCTTCAAGAGGCTCTGTCAGCCATCGGTCTTCAGCGTGAGGAGAAGAGTCGAAGAGGTAATAATATGTAGGTCCATTTTGATGGGTTGTTTGTGGCCATAATGTTGGCAATGTTTAAGATATTATCTGGTGTGTATATGCAAGTAGCACTTGGCTGTTTTTGAGTTGGGCTATTTTATTAACGTTAGGACGGCCCCATGTTTTACTCCTAGCAAACATTCTTTTTATGGGCTATATCTTCATCGAAAGATTCTGCTAGGATTGAAATGTCGGGCCCTCCTAATATTAATCATTAAAATTTCAGGTCATTTTAGTTGGCAGTTGTAAATAAAACGAACTTTTTTGATGAGTTTTGGGTCCATGCTCTAAATTGGATGTCCTGCACAGGGGACAATAAGTCATGGGCCTCTGTGTACACAGGCTCGATCTACTTTTGTATGTCTCAGGGGTGGGTATAAATGCATAAACAAAAAACAACTTGTTGCTTATTTGTGTTAACTATAGGCTAAAACATTGCATTCACAAACACTGGAAAAAAATTGATAATGATTTTTTGATGACTCTAAATCAGCCCATTGTTTCTTATTAGTAGTAATTTTTAGCTTTTTTTTTACAGAAGCAACTTGCACTGCTGCAGCTCTTGGGATACCATGCTTGCTGAAGGAGCAGGTCAAAGACATGATCGTGTTTGGAGAGGAAGCAGTAAGTTAAACATGTTTATATAACTGACATGCAGATCCTTGTCATTTGATTGGTGGAACTCACATACATAGCATTCCTTACTGCTCCCATTTACGACAGGGCTCAAAAGTCCCATGTGTCCATGGTGAATGGGATTATCTGTTCAACACTTAGGATTATCCTTGTTCGCACGGCTTTTGAACAGTCGACCCTCACTAAATTTGCAGCAGAGCATTGCAGATCAAAACCTGAGAAGGTTGTGACCCGATTGGTGCTGCTTGACAACCACACATAGACATGGCAGGGAAGTCAACAGATGTGCCAACGTAGATGCCAACATCTTTACATTTTACCCTGACGCAAATACCATCTCATCTTTTTACCAAAAAAATCTTGATGGGGAAAAATTTGGGTAATTTTTTTGAAGATGTTTTGCTGGGTATGCCTGTCAGAGTTTTGGGCCATGTGTGCCAGGTCACTACTCCCCCCCCCCGCCACCCTCGCAATCTTTAGAAATCACTACCCCTGTTGTACGTGGTCTAGCTGGTGGGTTTTTTTTTCAGCCTTAATTTAAATCACCTCAATTACATGTACAAGCCTACATTCCTCACTTGTGTTTGTTTTGTATCTACAGACAGACGGTGTGCCAATAATATGTGGTGACGAAGAAGATTTGGCCTCATGCAGCACCTTCAGTGTAGAGATCGATGGGACGATTGTGAGCTCGTCAAAAGATGTGCTCTCAGCCATGGCAGTCTACCTCGCAAGTTTCTATGTTTTCAATTTAGCTTACCCCACCCGTCTCAAGAGGACACTGACATTTTTCCAGAAGGGAGTTCTTAATATCCAGGATAACTTGAAGCCTGAGAGAGTTGTGATCTCCCTTCTGGAGAAACTCAGTCAACTCATGTAGAATACATGTAATCTTCATGTAAACGTGCATGCAGTTTATTGGAATAAGCCCCTTACTTTCTTATCAAAGCTGTGTTTGCAATGGACTTACTTGTTTTTTGTGTGAAATGTATCTGGACGATGTGAAGATTTCCAATGGGTAAATCCTGCCGTTTGTTTGCACTTGGATGTTTGATTGGAGGGATCTTACCCAGAGTATAAAATACATATAACTGAGCTGGCCAAAATTCCCCAAGCAATATTATTCCCATTTGTTGTAACGTTTGACATGTTTGATCAGGTTGAACATTGTTCACTGAAATCAGTGAATAATAGATTGTTGCAAATTACAAGATTTCTAATGTTATCCATATTATATCTGACATGACATCAAAAGTCAACACGTACATAGTACATGAGCACAACAAACTCCTGTGCAGCACATGCTCAGAGTTCTTGTGCATTGTGACCTTGCTGTGGTGGAATGTACAGGTTTCCATGCTGTTTACCAACTCGCACATTACTGTCTTAGTAAAAGTAGCCACTGGATACAGGCAAGCATAACTGAGAGGGGAGTTCCCAGGCTGTCCACACTGTACTTGAAATGGGTAAAGTAGCCATCATCTCAGACAGTTTAACTATAACATCCAATGCAAGCATGGCTTAATAACTTAAACTGACTTGACCCTCATAACAGCGGATAGCACATTAATTAATGCAAAACACTGTTATCTTTTGGAATCTTTTCACTGTTTTACTGCACTTTGAACTGTATGTAAAGCAAAAGGTTTTAAATGTTTTTTAAAACATGTTAATACGTTACTGAAAAAAGATCAAGCAGCTGCAAATTTTAACGGCACTCATGATTTTCCATAGAAAACACTCCTGAAAGACTTTCCATTGAGGTCAGAGATGCTGCAAATGAAATGAAAAGACTTGAATTGGGTCACTGCACATAAAAATACCCTGATGTCTTTTAGAGTTAATTACAGAAAGCCTTTGGTATTTTTGCTCAACTCTTACAGTTTGTTTACTGGATCACATACATGTATGCAGCATACATTCATCAGCATTTATAAAATATTGTATTCAAATTGTAAAGTTTCACGCCTGATTATCTTTGCGGGACAATTTTACTTATTTCTCCAAGAACTTGTTCTTGTTTTTTAGATCAAATTTTAATGTGCATTCAGTTTTCCAAAGTATCAGTGCTTCTTTGTTCTTTTGGCATCAAAGTCCTAAAATATTTTTTTTAGAGGGTTGGAAATCCATGTAATGTTTGCCACCCTCCCACCCAATGCTCATAAATTTATAGAAACACAGGTTTTATCATTTTGGGGACTTTCAGTTTAATTTTTCATTACATGAACTTTTGTTAGATTAATTGAGCTTTTCTAAAGTACCAGTCATACATGTATAGTGTCACTCTTTAGAATGAAGTGCGTGCTGAATTAAAGTCATGCTTCATACCCAGTTAATGAACTTACCAAAATTGAACAGAATATGTATTGATTTAGAGATTGAATATGTTCCACTTTAGAATGCATACCCTCTAAACCTCAAAAAACGTCAGGTGTATTCAAAATGTATTTCATCGTTCAAGGCATATGGGAGCACATTTCAAACATTTAAGAAGCAAATCATTGTACACCTGCAAAGCACTCTGTCGTTGATTACTTGTTGAAAGTTCTTAATTCAGTTTAATGTTATCCAGTATAACACATATGAAATTCTGGGAGCTCCATCCATTCATTTGTTGTACAATGTATTTATGAATTGGACAGGAAAATGTTATCCAATTAAATGGCATGTTTCACAGGAAACTGATTTCAGTTGTCTTTTTGTCTCTTGTCTTATAGGTGGAGTATGAGTATCATGCAGTGGCAGATCCAGAGAGCAGTACTTTGAGTGGCATGCATAATAATCCCAATTCCTCTCCTTGGACCAACAATAGTACAGCGTTCACGTACTGAACTTTGTGTGCAAATTAGTCTTCATGTGCTGTTCCACTCTACCCCCACCCCCTTCTCCATCATTCATAACCTTAACCACTACCAGCCCCCCCCCCCCCCCGAGGAAAACCAGTCCAGTCATGGACAGCCCCACCCCCAAAACCAGGCCCCACTACCCCCCCCCCCCCCCGCTACTATGGATCTGCCACTGCCGAAAAGCTGTATAACTAATGTGATCATTTCAGATTTCTGAATTACTAACTGTTAATCACTCAAAGCTAATTAGTAACAAGACTATTGTTATTAGTCAGAGGTTTAACTACTAAGTTCAAGAGTCGCTGGACTTAAAATAAGTCATTTAAGACTAGTTTCTGGTATTGTCGTATGACTAATAGTTTCTTGTCGGGATGTGACAAAGTTTTATTAGTAATCAAACTCCTTCTGACTACTGTTAATTAGTCAAAGCTAGCTAGTCACCCGACTATAGCATCATTAGTCACAGATTTAATTACTAAGCGCGAAAGTCGCTGGACTCAAGATTAGTCGTATGAAGCGGGTTTTTATCTTGTCATAGGACTAGCGTATTCATGTCAGATGTGACAAATTTTCATTAGTAATCGACACTATGTGACTTGTTTTAATTAGTCGTATGAGACACTGTTGTGGACTAATATTTTCAAGTCAAATTGACGAATTAATTTTAACAGTGTACGACTTATATCTTGTACGTACGTACAACTTATATCTCGTATGATCGACTCTTAACTCGTACCTACGCCTACTTATAACTCGTAAATATAACTTAATCTCGTACGTACGACTTATGAATTGTATGAACGTACATACGACTTGTATGTCGTACTTACAATCTCTTACGTAGGTATACGACTTATATAACTCGTACGTACGCCTTATAACTGGTATGTACGACTCATAATTCATACATACGCCTTATAATTTGTAACAGGTACTTACTTTGAACGCATCTCTTACGTACGACCTACAATTCATAACCCGTATGTACGAGATGTAACTCATACCTACGTACGATTTATGAATTGTAACTCGTGTGTACGACTTATATGTCATACACACAACTAATATCTCGTACGTAATTACGATTAATAACTTGTACGTACGCTTCATAACTCGCAAATACGAACGTATGACTTATGAATTGCAACCCGTATGTACGACTTATGTTGTACTTACGACTTATATCCCGTATGTACGACTTACAATTCATATAAGTGGTACGTACGAGATGTAACTCGTAGGTACGACTTATATGTCCCCATCAGCATATTTGTGTTTTAACATGCAGGAACAGAAATTACTGGAACGACTTCCATGTTGAACGGGATAGTAGGGGGTGGTGTCGCATTGGAATGTTTCGTCAAAAGAGTTCCATTGGGCTTTCTGCATATTACCTTCAAGTGGTTGCTTGGCAACAAACCATTGCTCGATTCGTGCACAAATGAGGACAGCACCAAGGCGAGAAAGTATAAATATCACCATGACAACCACGGTTGCAATTTGACGATTAACGACCTCGAGTTAACTGACGAGGGGCGCTACAGATGTGAAGCTCAGTATTCGGCTACGACGGTGTGGAAACATACATCATTGACAGTTAATGGTAAGTTAAAACTGGATACAGCTGTTTTAATTAAAACATATTATTCCCATTGTGTAGTTGCTGGTGAAGTGTTTGCGGTACAAATCTAGGATTGAGGGTCCAGCAACCACGATATGTGACACTACTTAGGTGACACGATGTTCCCTGTAGCTTTTTATGTGCGCGCGCTGATTTGACCTAAGGTGTTTAAATTTGTATAGGTGCCCATTCCGAAATGCACGCGCGCCTCCAATAAAAGTAAAAACGTGTGCAATAGAATTTTGAGTGTGACGATTCCCCGTTTAAAGTCTGGTCGCCCCATAAGTCGGCCAAAGAAATCTGGTGGTAGGCTTTCCATGGATTGCCATGAAAAACAACCCGTTTATCAAAGAAGGTGTTAACTGAACATAATAATCAGTATGTTTCGAAATCTGACCAGTATCCATGTTTCATAGCCAATGTAGCAAGAATATATGATGATTTACTTTACCGCACTGTTCTCAGAATCACTTCACTGTTCAGACGCAGTCACTTTATGAGGTATGTCCAAGACTATTGTGTGTTGCTCTTTTGCAACCTTGACTAACAAAAATGGATACCAGAATCTAGAAGACTAGATTGATAAATTAAAGTGTCTATTTGGGGGAGTTGCTGAATGCTCTAATTCAAATAAAGTTCTTTCATAACTATTGCCCTTCTTGTTTGAATTGTCATTTTGCCAGTTGTTATGCTTTTCCGCAGTGCCACCCAAAGATGTGCACATCATCAACGCCACTACCGGCGAAGTTTATAGCGGAGACGTGAACGTCGGACCGGGCACTGACCACAACTTCACCTGCCTGGCCGCAGACACCAAACCCCCGGCAGAAATCACTTGGACATTCGCTGGAAAGAACACAAGCGGAGAGACGAGGGTAGTTGGGACGAGATTGCATAACACCAGCAGCACGTTCACCGTGCCGTCGTTTCAGCCTGGTCAGCGGGGGAATCTAACGTGCACGGCAACTGGGGCAGGAGGGAAGGTGGTTACGAATATTCGGTTGCTCGGCAACTATGAAAAAACAGGTAATTGTGTGATTCTGTCAGTTCTTTGTGAGCTTGTCTTACATACGCAGTGTGGACTTCCGAACAAAAGACGTCCACATAATGTAGGCAGCAGCGACGAAGTGTGGACTTGCCCACGTCCACACAGTGTTTCCCCATTTCTGGAAAACAGGTTTAGAAGCATTTTGGGTTAGGTTTCTCTGTAGCAGAATGAAGAGAAACACTAAAGGGAATCATTGAAAAAAAATGGGTTGTAAGAGTTTTCACAGTTTGAGAAAAATGAGTTTTTCCACTGGTGTTCCTTAACTACACGAAAAGAAAGGAAAGTCCACACTAGGTATGTGAAACAAGTCTGGGTGTTTTTGTCCGTGTTTTCTCTAGCTCTTTGAATAACCTCTTAAACACGACAGCAGGCGACTACGAAAAGCACTTTCTAAGGTGGCATCGAACTAGTACAGCTCTTCCGGTTACCACGAACAGTTTGGTCAATTACGTAATATTTTATTTTGAATGAAACAAGCTCAAATTACCATTACACAGACCTTTTGATGTTCGCGGGTAAACCCTTTCATGCCACTTTCGGAGTTTGTTTCCCTTATAACGATCCAAATATAATGTGCTAAAATTCGTTTTGATATGTTTAGTAATTGTCATTACAATCGTGAAAATAGGTTTAGTTAGGGTCATTGTTCGAAGCTGTAACATAACACATGAATATCAATAAGGTTAATATCCATAATGGTGTGCAGTAAACATTTGTACCATCGCCTCCTTCACGAGTTATTCATTAATAATTAACACACTTTTTAGGCTGGCTTCCAGATTTGTCGACAGTGAGACCCAAGCGAAGTCACGCCGAGTTAAGCTAATGAATTGCTAATAACGCGCTACGTCACCGTTGCTATAGATGACTGTCCAAGTGTTGTTTTGCTCAGCTAAAATCCGAGTCGAACGTTACCTTAGTAGAACGTGAAACACAAGCGTTTTTAACAACAGATGAAGCTGAAATTCGGAATGTATGTAGATGATATTAGTGTTCAACTATTCATGAAGTTTAATCTGGTAAGGATTTCTAAAAAATGAGATAACTAAATAGTTTTGAGGACCCTTTCGAACAATTCTTCCCAGACGTTTAGGTAATCTGTACCAGTTAACAGTACTCATGTTTTTGCATCATTAACGGCGATTTTTGTTTCACTGACATTAAGGTTAGGATTTTATTGTAATTTAACATTCAAATCATACTGAATGTAGATTTTTAACGGCATAACGCTCAAAAAGTGAGGTTTCTTTGAAGGTGAAATCACTTCACTTCTCTGTCTGTGGCGTTCAGTAACGTAATCTGATTCACTTTCCTTATCAACGCGCATTGCAGAGCCTAGGCAACCGGAGGACTGAGTATGGACGTTGCGCGTGTTCGCATGAGCCTTGGGGACAATGTGTTATTGATATATTTCTTTAAAAAAGATAGATATGTGATTTGAAAACTTTTAAAAAAGCAACTGCTAATTTGTTAGTAAATATCCTACTTGTTTGTAAATTAAATAGTATCCTGTTAAATCGTAGCACCAGAAAATATGAAATTATGTTATAACGTTGGGTCGGACAGAAAAAGCGTTGTGAAAAACGGCTTTCTTTCAACTATTACATACATTCGAAAGTAAGACGCTATTTACCCCGTGCATATGTTCGGCTAGGCACGTACATGTGGGCCGAAATATTCTTGAATATTTTATATGTACTTTTTTAATACTTTTTTTTTAAACCTCTGAGTGGTAACACTGATTCTCTATATTTTTTTCTGAATGACTGCGTTTTTACAGTTCCGTTATTTGCTCCAAAATATTTTTATCTGGAAAAACAAACTTTCGGTGAAAAACCCTTTACAAATTTGGTAAGATGAGACAAAAAGTTTTAGAAAGGATTTGATTTAAAAACCAAATTCTTCAGGTTTCAGTCTGAATGTGACTGTATTGTCACCTTCAATGTGGAATTAGTTATCAGAAATAAGCTTTAATTTAGCGTATATTTGATTTTCTTTGACATTTTAACTTGAATCTGATTGATGTGTTAAAGATGGAAAGGGGGAGTTTGAAACTACAGGGCCATCCCAAAACGACAACGGAGTTTCCGGATCAACAATTAACACAACGAGTGAGTTTATGTTTTAACTTAATTTGCGCCTCACGTTCTATAAAGACGGCCGATGTTATCAACTGAGGATAAAATCGCGGGGAATGGGAGTACATTTTACACAATGTAAAGACTCCGATTGCCGAATCAAATGAGCCCTTTAGGTGGAAAGTACCCGCCTGACAAGTGAAGTGCATTGCATGTAGATATTGCACTAAATGTTGGAATAGTGTTTTTTTTACCTCAGGCTTCGTTGGTTAGCAATTTATATTTTCAGTACATCGACCTATCTGTATATTAGGTGATGTATGGTTCACTGCTGCTCAAACTATTAAACAGCAAAAGTTAATGCCATTGGGATTAAGAGTCAATGAATTTGGCTTCATGAACACGTGAAGATGTTGAGGGTCATGTTTGATTTGCTTAAATTTTTTTAAAGGAATTCTAAGTTGCTCTTAATATATTTTAATTCATGTTTATAAACAGTGTAGGCCCTCATGTGCAATTGTGTATGTACATTTGTCTTGCTTTCAGTTTACACTCGTATCGTGCCACGTGGACGTCGATCCCATTTTCAGGAAGAGCTTCCGGATATCTGAAGCACAGAAATATCAACTTATATAATACAAAATATTTCTTTTTCAGCAAGCCTCCAGAAAAAAAGCACCAGCTTAAAAATATCAATAATTATGGGATTACTTTGTTTGAATTTACTCATGAGATATTGCCTCTGATGTGAATCACAAATATTAAAACCAAAAACAATACTCTAATTGACCAATATCAGGCTGGAATTGTGTATCAGGGCACTATTGACTCTTATGTCTTCTCAGGGCACTATTGACGCTTATGTCTTCTCACAGATTTGTGGTGGCCTTTAAAGCAACTTGTCCGACACAAATTACGACAAAGTAAACTTACAGACTTTTCCAATACAAGTTGAATTTATAAATGACCCCCTAAAATGGTGACAGTAAACAGGATGTCCTAGTCTTTTGTCTTTTCGATTGTTCAATTTTCCTTTGTAGTCAGTGAAAAGCTACAGAATGATTTAACAACTATCAGCAATTTTTAATTTACCAATGTGCATTCGGATTATTGGCTTTGTGTTCATTAGGACGTTAATTAAATAGGTTTTTTTCTCAATTCATATTCAGACCCCTCGATGCAGAGTCAGTCGATTGTTACCTTCATTGCCGTCGGTATCGCGGCTGGATTTCTGCTGGTGCTTGTTGCGGCTATTGTCTCATGGCAACGCCGAAAGAGTAAGTTTGTTTGCAAGTCTTGTTTACTGTAAACTCTGCCTTTGATACTGCTGTCTAACTACCGAGCTATGGCTTTGCTGCTGCCAGACAGCTGCACCTTTTTGGGGGTCAGTTGCAGCTGTTAGTAATAATGTGCTGATATTCAATGCCTTTGGACTTATTATGTACACTTTACGTCATCAATTTGATACCACTGACCTGCTTAGGAACCTCAAGATTTCTCTCATATTTACGGTGGACATTTTAGATAGCTTTTTTTCCCCTGCCACCTAGCGCCGAATACTGGGGACACCACATTGATGTAGGAGTAATCAACAATTAACACGTGCTTTTACATCATAGTGTGCGTACGGGTGAGGTCAAATCCTAAATTAGTGCCAACATCAGGATCAGTTTCCTGTTAGTTCAGCCCGTGAAACAATCTTGAATATTTTTTTTTTGAGATTTGAAAGCTTACAAATATGGATAATCTAAACATAACACCATTGTTGATTGTCCAGAATGTACTACAATAATATTTGCGTTTCGAATGTAAAATTCATATAGATGTGTACACCAGGAAACAAATGCATCCTGTATAGTCATTATGTAAGTTCTGATGGCCGCTTAACATATCGAATATGGAGGTGATTTTATTGTTATATGAGTTTGCATTGTTTGTGGGTTAAAGTGCAAAATCGGAAAAACGAAAGTGTACACATTGCAGTTTTGCAATGAATCGAGGTAACAATGACGGTAATAATAACAGAAACCATTGTAGACGTTTGTTCATGGTTTGATTTTGGTTATTTTTATCTACAGATAACATTGCCTCCGATGGAAACCAGTGAGTAAAATGTATTTTAAATATTGACAGTTTTGCTTTGACAATGATTTATTGGAATTAGTAATGCAGGTCAGTTTCTTTTTGGGCTGACACGAAAAGTCTTCGTTTCACTATTAGTCGCTGATGCATATTTCATTTGTTTCAACCGTTATTATGTTCTAATGACAATTTATTTGCGAGCATTATCACAGCATGCTTTAAAACTTTGCAAGCTGGAATAAAGTCACAAACGAGGTCTTCCACGTAAAAACAAGTACTGCAAGTACTGTACTGCAGTATACTGTTCCTAAACTCAATCTTGTGAAAGATCACCCCAAAAATGCTTGACAATATTACAAACACCTTACATAGATGGCTCTTTGTTTATTTAAATGAGAACAAAACTGTTCAGTTAAGTTACTTTTGTGCATGTACGGAAGTGCATTTAGGACATGACAAAAAAACAACAATTCGGCCCACTTTTTCGTCGGGTGGTTTACTATTTCAGCCGGGCGGATTACTATTCTGCCCGGGCAAAATACTTTTTCGCCAGGGTGGATTACTATTCCGCCTGAACGGATTACATTTTGAGTCCTTTTTTTTTTAGCTCAAAACAGCTGAAATTACCCCATTTAAGGAATTAATAGAAATTTGCAAGTATTTTAAGAACATTTTTGGGTGCTCAATATTTGTAAAAACGTTTGTTGGATAATGGGGCTGTTAATTACTCTTTTTTAAGTCGGGGGAGGGGGTTGATTTGGAACCAAGTTGTCTTCAAAACAGTTCATATCATTAATTTGAAATTTGAACTAAACACCTGACAGAAAGTGGTACATATTACCGTGACGTCATTGTCACGTCATCAGGTGTTGCAATAATAGGTTTTTAACGTGGTATTTTGTTCATTTATAAATCATAAACTAAACGGAAACAAATCATGTTGAAGTTGTTATATTTGTGTTTTCTCCAAAGATGGATTTTGTTTTCCGAACGAAATTTAAAAGAATAAAACGCCCTCAAACAAATACAATTTGTGCTTGCTTTTTTTTTGAAGCCTTCATACTACTCTGTGTCAGAATGTTTAGTCCAAGTTTATGATATGAACCGTTAATATGAAATCATTCAACCCCCCCCCCAACTTAAACAAGTGAGATGAACAGCTCTGTTACCAAACAAAACAAAAATAAAAATACTGAGCGCCCCAAGATTTGCTTACAATTCTAGCAAACTGATACTAATTCCAAAAAAAATTGGTTAATTTAAACTTTTTTGAGCTCAAAAACAGCTCAAAATGTAACCCGCACTGGCAGAATGGTAATCCGCCCGGGCGATTTAGTAATCCTACTCCTTGATTTAATTATAATATTATTCAAGGAGTTCATGCTTGTTTAATATCAAGTTCATGTTCAAGTTTTTATCTGGTAACATATTCGAATAATTATATTTTCATTGAAATTGTTGATTTGATTTATTTTGTGGACGAATCATACTTTATCCCTCAGTGCAATCTCGATGATTGTAACGATTATTACAAAATATACTGACCTTTTGATGTCAATCAAATTATTATCAATTATTTATTTTAAACATTACCACTTTGAAGTGTTTTATTTTGTACAATTTAAATGGGGACCGTATCTTATTTCATTTTTGTGTCAATTTCGTATTAATTGATTTTTGTTTCTAAATTCAATTGTCATCTTGATTCGGCATGTGCCGCCACGATGATCTTTAATAAACCAGTCTTTCCATCTATCTATATATATATATAATCCGCCGGGGCGAAATGGTAATCAGCCCAGGCGAAATAGTGGGCCGCATTTTTCGTGGGGGGGAGGGGTAATGTCCTAAATACGCTTCCGTACCAATGGTATGACTCTAAAAGCTTTATTTTAATAACAATGTATGGCTAACATGATATTACAGGCCTGTAGTTCGCTACACACGGACTGGAACCGACAGGCCCACGGCGTCTGTGAGTCCTGTCTTGAACACAGTCGTAGGATCATCAGGTAAACTAAGCTAAGTGCCTGAAGGCGAAGCTGTTCGTGCTACAGGGTGGGCTGTTCGAATTCAAAACTAAAACGGAAATAAGAAAGACTAAAGGGATAAACCCCTGAAATGACACCTTACACACATCAAACAATGATAACGATTTTGTTGCAATCATTAAAGAATGACGGTTCGATCTTTGATCAAAATTATGTTTCGATGTGACAGGATACAAGTTTGCTTGTATTTAAAATCAAATTATTAAGTTTTTACAACAAAATTAAATCAAGCTGCTTCAATTTGATTGGTACAATCAGGATTCAAGAGTGAAAACTATTTGGTCAGACGGCCTTTAAAAAGGTAATTTTAAGAGATGCCACTCACAGAACTTTGTACTTTATTTTATTACAAGTTGCGGAAAATATCTACGAGGAAAATACGTTCCTTCCAAGTAGCCATTCGCTTCCTGCTACGACAGCGCCCTCTAGCAGTGGCATTCAAGCAACAAGGAACTTCCGACGTTACAATTCCGGTAATCAGTTAATAGAGTTACTCAATAAAGTCAATGGTTAAGTCCACTCTTCGGTTAGTTTATACACCGAAGTGTTGCGTTAAAACATGTTCATACCCGATCAACCTCTACTTAGTGATATGCGACCAACACTTCATGTGTGCATCCGGAAACATCATTAAAATTGGTTTGTGTTTTGCAGGATAATTTTGGACGTGCCTCACTTCTTCAACCTATTTCAACGAGTTTAGATGTTCTGGTTTTCAAACTGATGATCAAACTGATGGGTTTTTTTTTGCCTTGCTTTTTTTTCAGGCAATTGGGTAGTGGAGACTGTTGTCCTCCCTGGCCCCCTGGCGCAAAGCGATATGCCGACTACCAGCGACCAACAACCAGCCGCCACCATTTCTAAGGAAGTATGTAAATTTAAACGAATACATTCTTTCAAGTTATCAAAACAAATATGCATTATGGTTACATTTCCGTCACAATTTAAAATGTGCATACATTTTTTTTGTCAAATAATCCAATTTTTTTAAATGCGCAGTCGTGATATTTGCATTAAACGCAGTCATTTCTACCTATTTGTCTTGGCAGGTCCTCATTTACGCAGACGTCCATCACACCAAGGCACGCCCATTGGACGTCCCACCCATCCGCACGGCGCCTCCCACACAGTATGCAGACATCGACAACGTCCTGTTATCAACTCCTGTCGAGACCCCGCCTCTTCTCAGAGACGAGGCTCCAAGCTTGGGTGCTGAGGGGCTGATTCTAGATAGTTTGCAAGAAGAGGGCCTTGAAGAGAGGGCTCCGCCCCGCCCCCTCCGGGGTAACCCGATCCCTCATCTGGTACGGGATTGGCAGATCTAGACTTAAGTCTCTAGAGTGTGCGTGAAAAACCGAAATGAGCAGTTTGAGGATCACTGGGCGAGCAGCCCAATAAGACCCGTATACAGTCAGACGAATATTTTACAACAATCTTCACTTTCGCTTGTATATTTTGTAAAAAAAAGAAGAGCTTTCTAATGTCAGATGGACACAACTTTATTCTTAACAAATACACATCTTTTTTTGGTGGTAAAAATGAAAAAAGGTCACTTTCGCTTGTAAATTTTGAAGAAAAGAAAGAGCTTTCTAATGTCTAAGGAAAATAGCTTTATTCTTATGACAAATTCACATCTTCATTGTGGTAAAAGTGAAGAAGAAAGTCACAGAAAATGGAAACACTTGTGAGGAAAGGTATTTGCATGACCTTTGACAACAAAAATACTTTTTCCAGCCGTAGATTTCCACGCTTGAAATTAACACACACACTGAAAATAAAAGACGGGCCTGTTCAGTTGAAAGGTACAAGTGGATGACATGCGTTGTGAACACGCTTTAGCTAAAAAAAAAACATGTTTGCTTTCGAGGATCAGAATCTCAAGACCGCTTGCTTTTTTTGTCGTTGAATAATCCTTACGTCATGTACTTGAAAATCAGCGTTCGAAAAAAAAAATCGTCTGTTCGAATAATTGAAACAGTAATCGACACGAAAGAAAATAATCGAAAGAAACAAAATTACCGTAAACTTGCGGTCCTATAATGAATTAACATTTACTGCATATTGCGTGTAATCTGTAAATAAATGTTTCTTGTATCTCAAACTGTTTCAATTTCAGTTGGCCTATTTGACAATATCCGCTTGTTAGTTAAACTTTTGTTTTTAAACGGAAAATAAAACGCAGTGGTTGTTGACGTTTATAGGGTTAAATTCGGTTTCAGTCGAACAACACAATTGGGAGTATAGTCGAGAGGCTGTTTTATGTTACAGTATAAATTAAAATTGAAAACTATTTCAGCGTTCATCATCATGATCATCATCATCAACTCGGCCACAGTAATGTTGAAGATCAATAAAGTAGCCAACATTTTAATTTCAATTCAAATTATTTGTATTTTGATGTTATCACACTAGTTCAGGATGATTTTTTTTTCATAAACAGTCCATGAAATTAGTGTAATATAATACGAAATTTATTTAAGGAAGTCATAAAACAATATAACGCTATCGACTGTATTGTAGATATAGACTTTACTAATGCGTGTACAAAACTTCTGTTATAATTCGCTCTATAGCTGAATGTAAAGCATAAACAATAATGACTTTGTCTTGTAAATGAGAGATGTCTGTTAATAATGTAAAACATTCTGTTTTATCATCACAAGAGGGCGCCGTTTAAAATAAAGTAACGTGGTGCTGGCCTCGCTTGGCTTCGTATGGTTGTACATCATGTAGCTTTTGTTGTGAACCACCTCGACTCAAGCATGTTGTCTTTTCTGTTGGGTCTTAAAAATGCTGCTGTTTGCTTTTGGTGAGTTGCCTCGTCTTAAATTATCCTCTTTATTTACATGTGCTAAGAAGTTGCAAGAGTGTTTTTTGTAGCCATATTTAAGGTATATTTTTTGAAAATTATAATTTTATTTCTGACGGATATTCCTTGGGCTGTGATAGGGCCTGGGAGTGTCAGCGTGACATG